AGGAAGCAGGAACGATTTGACACCATCACTTGACCTCAGAGGGGCTTATATTTTTCAACATTTGTAAAAGAGCCAACATATCCAAAATCCTATGCAAAATTATAAAGATTATCTTTTCCCCTCCCTACCCAACCATGCATATACCATATACCATGCAACAAATACCCCCAGAGCCCCCAGGAAGACCTGATTCTATTCCCAGAACTCATTTTGAGCACCTTCTGTGCATAGCCAGGCACTGTGCGATGAATTGAGACTTTGGACGGGTGTAACACCTATCTTAGCCATTTGTGATATTTTGTCTCATCAGGGAGTCAGACATGCGAACAGACCATTTCAGACATGAGGAAAGGGCTGTCCTAGAGGAGTCTCTGGGTTGCATGGCTGAGTAGAGTGGAGCAGGACAGAGGATGGGAGAAGCAAAGCAGGAGCAGACAAGGAGGAGAGATCGAACATGATGTGGTCCATGAACCCTAGGTACTTGGCTGCTTCTGAAGCACAATCCAAGGCAAGTGTGAAGTGTCAGAGATCATGACTTTTAGAGTCAAATCTACCTCTGCCCCATACCTTTTGTGTAACCTTGAGCATGAAACTTAATCGTTATAAACCTGTTTTCTCCTCTGATCACCAGAGAATCCAGAAAAAAATCACTAGGAATACCGTTATCACTTAGTATAAGACTATACTCCTAAGAAGATGGGAATAAGGGGAAATAAAAGACAATTCAAGAAGAAGATGTATATCATACTGATTACTAAAATTGGTTAACATTTATTGCTTCCTTTAGAATTAGTATTGTAAGTCTCATTAGATATACACACTAAGAATTGAAATTGATTAGACTCCACAGTACAAATGGATCAAATTCTTCCTGTTCTAAGTTTCTTCCCAAAGTAGTAACTTTGTTATTTTTCTCTGTTCTTATATAAATATATTTAGTGAGAACTGCCATACATGCCTTCTCTGGAAAATTCCATGTTGTGTTTATCATAGACATTATGGTCCCTTCGGGGAATAAAGTATAGTCAGTTACCAAGTAGCAATGCTGCTGGCTGGTGGACAGGTAGATCATCTTAACAAGCTCCCCAAAGGTAAAAAATTCTAGTGATTTGTTTCTCTTTGGCTCTGTGTATTTTTTAACCATCCATTTACAAATGAAAAACTAATCTGATTATCAGTGAATTTGCAAGAATTTGATTAAAATGATGAAAAAAAAATCTTATGCAGATGCAACATAAGAGGAGCCTGACAATTGTCTGGCTTCTTTTTTGTGTTTTCCTATTCAGAAATATTCTCTTCTTTGTCTTCACCCTGAAAATAGACAACATCTCTTCACCAGCGGGTAAAAATACTCACTACTGAGAATAAGCTAGAGATAACTTTCCACTAAATGAAGACCTGGCTGCAATTTATGCCAGTATTCCCACTCATCACGCTAGACGACTGGTTGTCTACAGCCAGGCATCATTTCTCCACTGGTCCAGATCAGTGTTTAATGCTGATGGTTTTGATTTCAGTGAAGAATTCATAAGAGTCCTTGGCTCCTTCTCTTCCTACCCCAGAACTCTTCATCCCTCCAAAAGGAAGATTCAGCTATCTGAAGAGCCAGCAGTTGGTCCAGACCAAACCCGACTGCAACTTCCTCGCCACCCGGTGGACACGCCCCATATTGCTTGACCACACTGTTGCTACCAGTCCATATTTAACACTGTTGACTCTTTTAATCACTTCCTCTTCACTATCGAAGGGGATGACACACGTCATTGGACCAAATATCTCTTCCTTCATGCAACAGGATTTGTCCTTAACAGCTGTTATCATGGTGGGAAGAATAAAGTAGCCTGCCTGATTCCTTGGGAGAAGATTTAACTTATCCACTCCCTCACCACACAGAATTTGGGCTCCTTCAGCACTAGCTTTCTTGATGTAACTTCTAACCTGGGTGGGTAAAAACCATGATTAGCAACATCTTACTGCTGGGCTTCGCACAAAGCAACAGAGAAGTCAATATTTTCAAGTCATCTAGGAAAGATGTATAAGGTCATTGCCAAGAAATTTGAGGCCGCTTATCTTATCACTCAGCTGCTAAGCCTGAGGGGCAAAAGTGCTCTACTCATCACTTGGGCATTCAGCAGGCATATGGAAAAGGAGAGAGTAACTTATTCAATGTGTAAGTACCAGGCACCTAGAGGGCTACTGTTCATACATTCTCACTTAAAACTCTGTTAGCCACGTGTTATCATTCCCTACTTGCTGATGGTAAAATTGAGCCTCAGAAAAGGTAAACATTTCATACAACTAATAAACAGGAAAAGTAGATTTCACATTCAGGCATATTCAATAGTTAAATACACTAAAGAATATTTTCTCCCTTGGGGGGGTGGCTGTCTACTGTAGAAAGTGGTAAGTTGAATGGTCACAATGCCTTTCAAATATCTGAGCTTCCAGAACAAGTAATTTCTAACTTCTAATCTCATTACTAATTATATTCTGAAAATATATTTAGGTAATATAGTATAACTAACTATGAAGAGAAATAAATTATGTAATGTTAACACAGTGACTCAGAGATAATGACAGATATTTATTAATAATGGTTTTAGAAATGACTCATTATAATAATGATGCATACATTTATATGGAAATGTTGTTGAAGTCACAATGATACATGTTCTAACTCTGAAGGTTATAGAAAAATAGAAGAAGTAGAAAAATAATCCCTAAACTCAGAAATATAGAAAAACAGACAAGTAGTACGTCAAAGGCGGGATAAATTTTGAAACAACATTTTGGATTCCTGCTTATCATTTATCATCTGAGCATTCTGCTCCAGTATTAGATTAGTTAGCACTCCACTGTAGAACTATATTCAATATAGAGCTATACATTTGCCATGTAAAAATAAAAGAGGTAATGTTATTTTATTATTGTTTGCTTCAATTTGTAGAACACTTAGTAAGCCATGAAGTCGAAGACTTTTTAAAAATAGAACATTTGGTACAGCTTTATACTCCCCTCTGCTACACCTCCTCCCCTAGCAGGGACAATGATCTCAAGCTTTCCCAGAAAAACCCTAGTCGAGTTTGTGGGTAGAGACTGAAATAGGTCTGGACTTCTCTTTCACCTTAGCCTCTTGCTCCTTTTGAAACAACTCGTCCACATTAACTAAAAGATGCCAAAGGTCGCATCCTGTGTGAATAAAGGAAGCTGAGACAAAGGTCTCCAGAGGCTTCTTCTGGAGGCAGTTTCGAGACCTGTCAGTGATTCCAGCAGTGCAAGGCATGCTCATGCTCTGGCTTAGGATTATTGCATTTAACTGGAATTACATGATTATCTCTTAGAAGCTCTTGGGATAATCAAATATGAAGGGAAGTGTCAGTTTTCAAATTGTGAACTTATCAAAATATGCAATGCGTAAGATGACTCAAACTGAATTTATTTTCTAGAGAAAATATCACTGGATGATAGAATATCTCCAATAATAGCTCAGGAACTGAGATTTTCAGTAAAATATGAAAAAAACCTTGTGATTGGTAATATGTTATAAAATGAATTGTTATTATAAAACTTTTTTTTTTTTTAAGAGGAGAGAGCAAAGAATAGTATCTAGTAGTTTTGTACCTAAAATCAGAGCAGACAGAAGAGTGGGCTGGGGAGCCCAACTGTTCAAATTACTCATTAGCTGAAGAGATTTTACATATTCTGTGCCTCAGTTTCCTCGTCTGAAAAATAGGATTAATACTGCTACGTATTCATAGGATTAAATAAGATACATAAAATATTTAGCATAATGCCTGGTATGCAGTAAGCCTTCTGAACGTCAGAGGCTGTTGTTGCTGTTGATGAAGATGGTGGCAATATAATACAATTAAATATAATATAATTAAAACGTGGTAAGTCTGATGAATCTGTACAGTGTCAGAGATTTCTACAAACTTAAGTAAAGGGTCTGCCCCTTTTCGACTGACTGATGGAGGCATATTTCTCAGTGGGCATTAGTCACTGCAGCTGAAAACAAGATTCTTCTAGTACCAAAATCTATGACTTATTTTGGGAAGAGCCATATCAGGTAATAAATTAAAATGACCTTAAAGACCCAGAGATCATCAATGGCTTTTCCCATGGAGGCCACTGCTAGTCATGCCACCAACTGAGGACCATGCAATTTGGATTGTTTGTGCTGGCACTTTTGAAATGACACCTGTAGTAAGCCAGAGGCAGAACCCTTTCTGCTGGGAACATTTGCCTACAGAAATTCTTGCCACTTTTAATCTACGTCATTCTATTACGTGGCCTTTATGTTTTGAAATTTGTCTTTCTCACCCTTCTGGTGGTTATCTCCTATGCTGACTTCTCAAATTTATTCATTTCATGTAGATGTTGCTTTAACCTGGACTACATTTATGTATTCATATCCAACATTTTTAGACTCTATATTCGGAGACAATTTTCCATATGTCATAATTTTTCAAAAATAGGGTAGCAATTAACAATATTTTAAACCATGGATGTGAGTTATGCCTTGCACTGGGCTTCCCTCCAAATAAGAAGTCTTTCTGTAACTTCCATTGCATAGATTCACTTACTTTCTCTAAATGAGCTTGAACTTATCAGAGCTCCCATGCTGGCTGATGGGTCGGAGGGAACACCAACTTTCCACATTCTGGTAGCTTTTACAAACCTTTTTAAAAATTCACTATAGATGCTCTTCTAGACAAAGATCCTGCTGGTGCAGAGGCAGATTTCACCCTGCCAAGAATGACACAGGGGACAATGACAAGATTGGAAAGCACACCCCATAGATAGATCACATTGCACTTCTGAGCCCCTACCATAAGGGATAAATATATACATATTTCTAAGCCATTTTCTCTAGGAATTACTGTGAGAGAAATAATTACAATTATAATGATCATAAAAATAATTATTTTAAAATGTTTTTCATTCTACATTGACAAAAAATTATTTTGGAAGGCATTATTATTTCCATTTACATAATTTATGACTAAAAGAAATGAAAGTTCCAAAGGTCATATAAATTATTTGAGTTAGGTAAATAAAGATATAGCTCATTCCACTCATCTTTCTGTCTTCAGAAGCTTTAACTCTTTTCATTAAATCTTTGTTTTCTGCTAAAATATTTATTTTTAAAAAATACACCCTTTGGTCTACGGCCATGCCACCCTGAACAAGCTCAATCCCGTCTGATCTTGGAAGCTAAGCAGGGTTGGGCCTTGTTAGTACTTGGATGGGAGACCACCTAGGAAGACCAGGTGCTGTAGGTTTAAAAAAAAATAAATAAAATAAAATAAAATAAAACAATGTATGATGGCAGCTTTAAAGTGTTGCCATCATATATGACTTTTAAAAAATATATAAAAATAAAAAAATAAATCCTGGGCATTGAAGTTAAAACGCTGCCCAGAAGCAGGCACAGTGGCCCTCGTCATGAAGCTTACAGTCTAACATATCTTATCCCATGTTCTGAATGCCTTGAAGACTCTGATGAAAAGTATGGGCCCCAGGAAAAGAACTGTCACACAGTTTCAGGAGATGCAAAGTTTTCTGAAGCTCATCCATCACTCTAAGGTAAGAAACCAGTTCTAGACTGGCTCGGGTATTTATTTCTAAGTATGAGGATGCATTTGTGATGTTTTGGGGAAGAGAATAAGGTTTTTTGGATATAGGACATTTAGATAGCAAAAAGAAACTGGGGGCAACTCTGTGAATATAAGTCTGGAGAAGCTTGGAAAAGCAAAAATCAATCATTTTGCCCATGGGTGGTCCCTGAAAAAAAAACTGTGTAACTCACAAAGAGGAGCTTGCTGAACAGAAGTTGTGACTCTACAAGGCCACAGATTGACATTGAGATTGAACCGATGGTCAATGGAATAACATGATATAACGATTCTCCTTTCACTGAAATAGCATTGAGTTGACCTACTCACTCCCAGCTTTGCACTGTGATGAAACAGATCCAGTGTGACAGGGTCACAGAATTAAAAACAAACAAACAAAAAACCCAGAGGACATACCTGATTGATAAAGCTGGACTTGACAGTGGTTGGAACACACTCCTCCAGGTTGGCATCCTCAAAGACGATGGCGGGATTCTTGCCCCCCAGCTCCAGGGAGAGCTTCTTGCAGTGGAGAGCGCTGAGCTGGATGACCTGCTAGGCTGTGGGCTGGCTCCCAGCGAAGGAGATGAGGAGCACGTCTGGGTGGGACACCAGGGCCTCGCCTACCCTGGGCCCTGTTCCGAACACAATATTTACCATACCTGGTGGAACACCTGGATGGGAAACAGTATCAGTTAAAGTAATTCTTCTCAGTGTGTTGAGGACTTCAGGTTACATGGAGATTCTCCTTGAAAGTCCAATTACTTGAATGGGGGAGGGAGGAAACTCTTATGGCTGTCTCTGGTTTAACAGCAAAGCAAAGACTATAGCATCACCTCGGTCTAGAGTACACCGTAGGTGGGATTTCTCCAGGCGCTTTGCCTCAGAACATTCTACATAATTCATTCCCTAAAACTGACTAGGCCTCAGGGGCTGAGGATGCAGAGATACCTTCCAAGCCCTCTGAGGGAGGAGAGCCCCACTCCAAGTTGGCATCCAGGAGTCACCACTGAGTGTGAAAATGTTATGGAGAGGGGAGACTAAATCATGCATCATCCAGAGAAGAGATGGACTGTCTTGGCCCGGAAGAGTGAAGGAGGGTTTCCTCGGAAAGGTAAGTTTTACGTTGAAGGTCCTGTGCCTCATGATATAGAAGCGCCATTACACTCCAGGTCTGACTTAAAAGGCCAAGAACCAAAAACAGATGCCCCACTCTTTTCTATCACAAGACCCTCTTAACCTAGGTCTGCATATGTTTATTTACATGTTCCATGGATTTACCTGTTTATTACTTACCTGGCACTAGAAGGTATACTAGCTGGGGGAAGAAATAATATTTTGCTCTCCATTGTATCTGCGGCACACAGCCTAGTTTGCCATAGAGAATTAATGCCAGTAAATGTGCACTCACATTTATTGGGTGCTTATTGTAGGTCAGTCATTGCTGTGAGCGATTCACACTTTTTAGACCTCCCATCAACTCTATTAGGTAGGTAGTATTACTATCCTCACTTTACCAAAGAGAAAATTGAGGCAAAGTAAGGTTACATGACAACCAGTAAAGGCAAAACTGGATGTAGAAGGTCAAGAAACATTTATTAAGTAAGCGAATGAATGAATGAATGTTTAGTGTACCTTATCCATATTACAAATGGTGCTTGACTTCAGGAAGCTTTAAGTGTTCAGAAAGACAACCTGTGTGCAGTGTGTTGTGTCCAGGAGGTTCATATGGTTTGCCTGGAGGTGGTTGAGTTTATTCCCTCTATTTCTTCAGGCTTGAATTTTGTAGAGGCAGAAATCCTCCAGTGTATAAAGTTTTTGAACTAATTTCCTGCTCCTAGTACCTTTCCCTTGCTTCAAGTTAGATGTTCTCTCAATAGAAACATACTCTCTTGGATGAAAACCATCTCTTCAAAACTATGCTTTTAAAGTATAAATAATAATATTGTATTGATGATCAATTATCATCCAAAACACCTTCCCACAAAGCCTTAGCCCAGTCACCCTGAGGGACAATCAAGGTCCATTCGAGTGAGGTCTCAAGAAGGTGAGTGGGAAGATTCAGTGAATCATGATGGTATCTGGCAGAGCCTCACTTCTCATGACCTCTCCCTCCACACTCAGTGTGCATACTTGTTGAAATCCAGTTTAGGTCAGTTCTGGGTCATAAGTCACTACCAGATGAGGGCAGGCCAAGAACCAGGCACCATGGGAAAGAGGTTGGGTCCTGAGTTGCGGCAAAGAAGATGCTTGGGGGTGCAGCTCTCCCTGTGATTGATGGGAGGAAAGCAAGGACAAGTTTCTCACCATTGGCAGAATGGGACCCTGCATCTCCATCAAATACTGGGTATGTGAATATTTATCTGATGTTCGGATAGGGGGTTGGAGGCCAGGAGACTCTTGGGCTTTATAAATCTCAAAGGCAAAAAATGAACCGAATCACTTGGAATGTTTACGGTAGCATTTTTAACAGAGGGTGAGAGAAAACATAGAAACATCACATATTTATCATCACGGGAAAATGAGCTTGTTTCAGAGGGCTGATGGCCTTCTACACACCAGCATAACTTTTTGATTGCATTTCCTTGAGCTCCGATGTTAATGCATTAAGAGCTATCTACTGGCCATTATTCTTCAGTATCATTTTGCCATTTGATCAAGGCATTAATGGAAATTGTTTAGAGACATCTGATCTCTACTCTTAAGAAATTCTAGTTTTAAGATAAGGAAGGTAGTTTAATCAGCCAATAACAATTTGGTAAAATTCAGGGTAGGTGCTAACAGATAATGGAGAGAACGAGGTCCCATCCAATGCTAGGATGTGGCAGGGTGACAAGAAGTTTAAGCTTAAATAGAGCAGAACAAAAACTAATAGGAAGGGCCAGAAAACCCATCAGTGGAGGCTCTAGGAATGAGGGCAAACATTTGGTGCCCCAAAGAAAAAATTGAATATTCCACAACTCTTAAAGAGGTATTCGTCGCATAATTTTTTAAATGATTTTACTCTAAAGGAAGGTCATCCATCTCAACACTCAGGACTAGAGGAGCTAGCTTCTTAAATATCCTGAATGCATTAGCAGGTGACTTTAGCTCTTTTTTCCCT